CCGAGCCCCTCCTTACTTGCGCGCAAGTAACACACTTCACCACAACAGCACCCACCGAGCCCAGGTACTTACCAGCATCCGAGATACATGACGTGGGTACTGATAGGCTGGGCTATACAATGACGTATCAGCCGCGATCAAGCAGTCAGAGTAGCGCGAAGCAACACACCAATAAGGGCCCTGCGCGAGCGGGCGCGCTCATAGCGAAACGAGAACCTGCGATACAGTCAGGACAGAATAAGTAAACATAATGAGCGAGCGCACGGGTTCCTGGCTATCGAGGTAACCGAGCGCGGGGCGATTACGGGGCATTTATGCTAATAAATCCCACGTTCTTTATGCAGGCGGGGTCGCGACCGAGGGCTTCGTTTTCAGGCACGGCACCTCTAATGGCCGCATTTGGGTTAATTAAAATCGCCTTCCTCTGCCGTCCGGTTTTCCATTTGTGGTTTGTCTTGGCACTGTCGTGTTCTCCTGCTTGGGATTCTTTTCCGCTTCCTTGTATCTTATTTCTGTCTCTTTGTACAACAGCTTCTTTCTCGTCCTCTTTCTCTCACGCTGGTCGTTTTTGGGTCCGTTCGTCTCGTTTGGGTATAGTTTCCGTGATCCCATCGTTTCTGTGTCGTCATCTGTTCTTTCGGAATGTTCTTCTTCGACTCGGTCTGTTCCGGTCAGTTGTTCGGGTCTCTCCGCGCATCACTGCCCTCTTTATTTCAGGCCATTCTCCCTCACTTTCTCGGCCTCCCTTTTTCTTCATGCACCCTCTGGTGACAAGCTTTGCACGTACGTATCAATCTTTGGTTCAGTGACGCGCCTCGTTGCTCGCGGCTCTCCGAATCCCTCGATGACGCTTGCCTTCTTAACGTTTCGCCGCTCGCATACTCGCAGCTCAGTGCTTTTTGTTGTTTGGCTCGCTCGCTTTGTGTATGCTGTCGCTTAACGTTGGTCGGCTGTATGTTTCTGTGCATTGAATGGCTCGAAGGCTTTCCGTCTCAGTCGATGTTACTGCGTGACCTGCCTTCCGTCCCTCGTGGGAGCGTGAGTCGGATTCTTATTTGCTCCCGCCTGCTCCTGCACCCTTTCGACACCTACCACCATCATGTCTCACTCATCCCTCTCTGCGCTACCCAACGTGAGCGTCATTGCCATTCGTGCGCTCACATCCCTCTCACACCGCAGCGCTTCAGGTTGGACTGTAGCTGACAATCTGATTAGCTGATTAGTAGGCTATAGCCACTCCACGCCTGTTAACTGAGCCATGGCTAAGAACTAAGCACACTGAGCCATTAAATAAAGGACCTTTATAATGAATTAATGATAATGGAGCTCTTCTTTATTGAATATCGGCTATTGAGCTCAAATACGGCACCTGCCGAGAGCCAGGAA